TTCCCAAAACTGACTGGTGAACGGCACGAAAATGAGGCAAAATTTTCCATCAGCACATGTCTAAAATCAAATCGACATCTGAGCTTTTGAAGGCATTAATTCATCATCTAATGAATCCCGATATGGCGAGTCTGAACTTTCTTGAACCTTTTCTGGTGGATATCAGGTCACATATTTGGGTGTTGTTTTTTTGCTTTCAGTCTAACGACCTTAGATACGAGAGTCTCAATGGGGTCGAAGGGTTCCCTCAAACAAAAGGAAATTGAAAAAACCATAGTTAAGACATGGTAAGAAAATCAATCCACATCGGAGAACGTCTCGTATCCAGATTGTAACCGTGCAGGGAATGGGCCAAACCCAAGATTGATTAATAAAAACGAGAATCATCATCTTTGATTGTAATACCATTTGTCTGTTAAGAGGACCCACAGCATATGGTCCTCAGAGCCTTTATTCATCGGTGCTGTAAAGCACGACTGTAGGTTTCTTATCGTAAAAAAGGTTGTGATTTTCATCAGATAACATTGAACCCTTCTGTGTTACAGTAACGTTGCAACGAGGCCTCTGAGCCAATAAGCTTCTTCCACATGTCACGACCCAATGAAGTGCTTCGGTATTTCCCCTTAACGATCAATGAGTAAAGGGAGCTGGCCTTCATGTTGTTTACAATAAAGCTGATCTGTTTACCGATCTTCATACCGAGACAGATCTTTGAGAAGGATGTGTTCCAGTAAGTAGGTAACTTGGTCTCTTGTAAGTCGAATCCAGTCTCTCCTCCAGCAGTGTTGTATTGAAGTTTATTGCTCCAGTAACTGGAATCATAGCGAAAGGTACTCTGGGAGAGTATTTCATGATATGATTAAAATTTTATCACTGGTTTTTTATTTATCCGCCGTATAATCCTGTCCGTTTTTAAATAGTTTGTGACGATTATAATATTTCTCTTCCCAAACTAGCTGTTTTTTCTGCACTAGAATTTACTTTAAAATTGCTCTCAGAGAGAAAGAAAAGGCAATGAGAGGAAGCTAATGATCATGAAATATGCATGACTTGGTGAAGTAACGTGAGGCATTATTTCGTTATCAATATTAAAGCAGGGTCAATCAGAGCCAATTTAGGGAGCGGTCACTTTTCATTACCAGGGAGGCTGGAAGAGTTTTGTCATGTCACAACGATATACTTGACACCTCCCCCCCCTCTCCTTGGGTCTGTCGTATTCGAATGATCCCTTCTCATCGGCAATCAAATCTATACAGTCCACCCTTTATACTCCGCTAGTGACAACTGATCCCCGCTCCGTTCCCCCTGAAATCTATGTGATCCCCAAAAAATCTTACGACCCACCCATCCCTTCCCTCCGCGACCCATTTGATATATAGTGTCTCTCCACTTAGTCAAAGAGATGTTGGCCGGAGACATGAACAGAGAGCGGAAGCCGAAGGTATTCTGGGAGAATAATTTATAACATGATATAATTTTATTATGGGTGTTTTAATTTTCCACCGTATTATCCTGATCGTTTTTAGAACGTTTGATACGATCCCTCCCTCCCAGCCCATTTGACATATAGTATCTTTCCCCTTAGTCAAGGAGATGTCAGCCGAAGACATGAACAGAGAGCAGAAGTCGCCCTCGTTGTCAATAAGTTAGTCAGCACCTGTGAAAAAAAATATCTCTCAAGTGGTCGATCACGACACGCATCGATAGAAAATCAGTTCCGCATGGTACCTTGTTGCCGTTAATCTTCATTACTGGCGTCCATCCTCCATGTCCGCATCCAAAATCTCCCATGTGACAAAGAACTGTCATTGGCTGTGCGCCCAGATGAAGGGAAACCAGTTTACTCGTATTTGATCTGTTTGCCTCCTTGCATGATTTTACAGCTAGAAGATAAAAAGATGACTTTAGAAATACGCTACATAGTTAGGAACGGAAAGGAAGTGAAAAGTGTGGGTTATGTGATAACAGCCTCGAAATAAATGTGTTCGCTTAATGGAGAGGCTCTTGTGAAAGTGGCAAGAATTTATTTGGAAGATTGTGCTCCTCTTAGAAGTATCCTTGATGCGCTATATCGCAAGCTATCAAGTCTGGATTCGATCTCGTTTAGAGTCTGAGTTCTGTTTTCTATTTAGAATTCCTACACTAGCATCTGATTGATATTTGAAGTGAGCTTAGTTGCATTAGTTGTGTATATAATCATTCTGTAGGACTGGGGATTGTCATATGCACCCGTGGACCCCTCCCCTGAGCAATGCCTCTGTACGTTGGAGGGCTTATTCTGAATAAAATATGAAATGGTGTTGCAAAATTCAAAAACAGAAAAAAAAGGAAAACGTTGTCAATATCAATGGAATCATAGTAAATTAAGAAAGCGTACAAACCTTTCTCGCAATATTTTCCAACAAATCCATTTTTACATACACATTCAAACGAGTAACCTATGTGGCTTGTCACACAGCTACCGCCGTTATGGCAAGGAGAGGAAAAACATGGAGACTACCAAAAGAAGAAGGACAAAACTTTTACAAACCACACTTATTGATTGAATAGATACGAGGCACTTCACCTTTACGGCCAGAAATGTTTCGTGACGAAGAATTTAACTTCATAGAAATTAAACTACTCTGTATTATGATAGTCAATGTTTTGGAAGTCAATTTAAATAACAAAACAAGCCCCACCATAATGGAAACGAGATGTGAAGTCCTATTTTCTCTGAATTCCTCAGGAAGTCTATGCTTATGAGAAGACAGCAATTCACACCAAATCTTTGCATCGCGTTTCCTTGCCACCGCCAAGTTTACTGACCAGCATGAAGGATTCCTTTGGCATAAAAAGATGCACTCGTAGTCGTCGAATGCCAACGATGTCCAATCTTAGGTGCAGTGAGATAAAAATATCCATCAATTGATAAAAGACTTTGTCTGAAAGTCTAAAACAGTGTTGCAGAGTCACTGTGTCATTCTTCAAATCCTGTGCTAAAACATTTTGAACTATACCACTGGTTATTTCCACGAGATGATATCTTACGGGAATGTCTATAACAGCACAGATGGCTGCTATCAGTGCACTCTGAATCCTAAGACATATTTCAATTGCGAACAAATTAAATGCGTGTAATTAAAGAAATGTTTAACTTGCGTATAGGTAAAAGAATTCTTACCTCCTGGAGAAGACATCCCCTAATTATGTCCCAAAAGAGACAACGGTACTCCGAATAACATGACGAAACATCGGCATATAAAAAGATGAAACATTACGGTGCTCTCGGAATCTGATGTGGTTTGACTCAGTTACCAGTTGCGTGGGTGGGTGAACCGTGCTGCTGCAGTAAACTTTGTTCTTCCGTCCATCTTTTTGTTTATCAATACAATTTATCGAGATCTTGTTTATCTTTTACACTAATCGAAAGGCCCATTTAATTTCTGCGGAACTCAGCAGAATAGCAAGGTTTTTCGAATTTCAGAGAGTATATAAATAAATCAATCAATCAATCCATCAATCAATCAATCAATCCATCAATCAATCAATCAATGCATGAATGAATAATTAAACACCAGTCTTTAGCACTGGCCTATTCACGTAAGGGTTCTTTGCTCTGATTTTAAGTCAAATTAGAATTTTAATATAAGTGTTTGTTTTCAACACAAAACACACACAACCTGTCTCGTTATCGGACCCAGGCCGAGGCGTTGGTAAGTGTATCTCTCAAAACCATGCTGTCTCCGTTCCCCATTTGAAAGTAGAAAGGATTAAGTGGCCTGGGTTCGAAACCCATCAAAGACTGAATTTTTTCAGGCTCCTTTAGTACAATTATCTCAATTGCACCTCACCTTCAAGGATCCCTCAATTTCTTTTATTGAATTTTATTCGCAGTTCAAAATATGATTCATTTCATTAAGATTTTGAAATTCTACAGCAAAGCTGTTGAGCCGTCGCCAATTTCTGGTGCAGGTGGATATCATCTGCCACCGAATGGGTGCGCACTTGAATGTTTGTGACCTTCTTAGATTACGTTTGCTATTGAAAGGTATCACACCTATAAGTCAGTTTTACTGTACCGTGGGATATATTGTCGATGAAAGGCTTTGTCTCGGTGTACTTTTAAAATATGCCACTTGCGGTTTGCTTGGTTTTTCTCCCTATTTTATTTAATTTAAAAGACAAACTGCAACAGGCATCGAGGCCCTACCTGCATTGCAAAAGTCAGATTGCCTACGCTTACGTTAATTCCATTTTTTGGTGTCACACAATATCAGCACCTTAAACTGTAACTCCAATCAAAAGTCGAGTCTGCTGATCTCGCAGTTCCGTCTACCAACTATCTCGCTGATTTGCATTGCCCCTATAAATTTTAATATTCAGCCTTCCTGTGATTCTGACCTCATGTGGGTCAGAAACGCTTCTTTATATACCTCCTCTGTCTCAAGTGGAGAACGAGATAACTGCAGATACGATGTTTTACAGTATTTATTCAATTAAATGCCACGGCGTTTATTAAATTTTTCGTGATTCGAGTGCAGCGTTTATTCGAGGGAGGCTTTTATACGAGGGTGGCATTTATTTAAAATCAAATTTTTATTTCTTGCAAACAATAGTATGTTCACTGACTAATTTAAAGAGTCATTTTTTATATTGTTCTCAATTTCACAATTTACATGATAATATTACTGCAATACATAAAGTGAATAAAGATCTAATGTCGGATATCCTCTCTCGACATCAAAACGGGTACATTAAAAAAAAATTACGTCTGATTCACTCAAAATTTCCAAATGCGATCGAAGCAATGATCGCTGTGTTCTTTTTTAGTCTTTTATTCGAATAAATGCGGCATCATGCTGTGGCATTTTTTCGAGGGCGGCGTTTACAAATATTTCTGCTCTAAAATGCGGCGATTATTCGAGGGCGGCGTTTAATCGAATAAATACGGTAATGAAGCAGCATATTTTGATTTTGAGTGACAAGACAAGGCGTTTACTTTCGATTCGTCTTTCAAAATGGCGGAAGCTCTAGGAAATGAGTATCCTTCGGGTTATGACGAGGACTTTTTGGATACAGTCGAGCACGATTTTATTTGTTTAATTTGCCAGTTGCCGCTTAGGGAACCACTGCAAACGAAATGCGGTCACAGATTTTGTAAGGGATGCCTCGAGGAATGTTTTAGAAGGTGCGTCTTTCTTGTTTGAATTTCGTTCGCCGGATTATGAAGTCCGCCTTCACTGGCGGTTACCTGATTCGGGCAACCGAACATACACTTAACTCTAGTTTTACGTTATGAAACAGTTTGCGGGATTTTGTTCAGCACACAGTTATATAAACAAGGTATGTTTGTTCTAATAGCCGATGTAAAGACTAACCTGGCACGGCTTGTTTTTTACATTTAGAGCATTAGCATGTATAGTTTTCCCCTGATTGTTTTTGGCTGCATTTTGAGGTAAACACACTCTTGCTATTGACAGTGTGATCGACTGTTAGAGTCATCGGTCCTGTCAACACTTTAGTATTTTCGAGAAATGCGAAAATCATAGAGCATGAAAATTGTTCTAAGATGTTCTTACATGAACCTTGAAAATTACTCTCTTAGAACTTTCCCTCCTACTATGTGTACACAACTGCCTCCTATGTCGTGGTGGTTCAGTGGTGCCATATCAGCCCTTATAATTTCGATTTGAGAAATAAATAGATATGCATAGATCTGCTGTTCACCTTGTTATTTTGCCAGTGCACGAAACAATGAGACGAAAAAAAAGATAATTCGGATATGACCGCTCTTGACGTATCTTTCCAAGAAGATTTGGAAAGCTTCTAAGAAATGGGTAACTTCAGAATAAATTCTCACTAAAACAGAGACTTTCTTGATTTTTCATAGTGGACATTTGTCCTTAATAGATTTGGTCTTATATTTACATCATAGATCAAAATCGAAGCTCACTTAGTCTGGCTTCATAGCACACGCAAGAATACAAATAAATCTTACGAGAGGAAACTCGGATGCATCGCAACTTTTTTGCTCTGCAAAAGGTCGGCTTACAAACGTTATTGAAACCTTGAGAGACTGAAATTACACTGATTTATTGTAACACTTCTGCAATAGCCAGTTGCTTGATTAACGCTTTACTGCACACATGTGAATGAATATTTAAGTTTATTTTATGCAACAAAAGAGACCATTTTGCAAAGCCTGATTTCCACATTAAGGCTATGATCCCTCCCAGCCTCAACTCGAAAACCTTCCATGACATTCAAAAGTAATTTCATGTAAATCAGAGCTGCTTTCGGGACTTAAGGCCATAACCGTTTGGTGCACCAACTTAAAAAGACTAATTTTAATGTCTTCGATTCCCTGCCTTATTGATGAGCTATTAACATAACCGCTGAGGCGAACAGTCCAACCTAAAGTTTATTATGAGTTGATGCTCATAAAGTTGATTGCACTTGATGAAATTTTCTGAAAGTATCACAGTCAAAAGAAGGATGACAAAACTTCTCAATCATACCAATCATATAACGATCTCCCATGGGCTACTTGAGAGGCAACCCTACAATTTTATTGATATGTTCCTTACTGAGCAAAAATTTTTCAGTAATCTGATCTGTTGAGGGATTCCTTATATGAGCGTATTTTTACCCACCTCAAAGTTTAAAAGTTTTGCACGTAATGTGGTGTGTCCTTAAAACTTGACTGAACATTTTCAGGATCTTGCAACGGTTACACCAGCGTTATAAAGTGTTGATTTAGAAGTTTCATTTGAATAGAAAAAATTATGAAATATGCTGACTCAATACAAACAAATGCTTTTCAAGTGGCGATCACATTAAGAACAAGAATTTTCAGAACTGAGAAAAAAGTTTTCGCAAACCTCATTTGTTGAGCGATTCCGTCTATGATGGTATAACCACTAATACCTAACAGCTGGAAACATTTATAAGTAATGCAAAGTACGTTTAAAGTTTGTACTACTACACAATTGATCATTGGCTCTTATGCTTACTCCACCCCCCACCACAAACTCTCGTGACCATTACACTTGCAATGTTGTGTATTGTTCCACCAAAACAATTATCCACGTTAAAGGAAGTAAAAATTGTCACGAAGTCCCTTCGACTTGGCCACGGGACCATTCGACGTCAACTAAGTCGACCAATAAGTCATTTAACCCTTTAATTCTCCCCTCTAGCTGCTACACATTTCCTTTTAAATCAGTGAGAAGAATTTGCTGTAAGAGCCATTTAACAACTTCTACCCGCTATTTACGAGTATTCTCATTACCTGTTTGCTGAATAATGTAGGGTTATCATAGGGAGGAGGTACATGTTAATCACTTCTGGGAGATAAAAGGTTAATTTATCTAACATCTTGTTAACAGACTGGAGATCAATGATCAGCCTTCAGCTTGCCCCGTGGATAGAGAAGTTCTAGACAAAGACAAGGTATATGTGCTTATTTACGTTTCCTTTGACCGACAGACGTCCACATCAAAGCTATGCTTGCATCAAAAGTTATTTAATAGAAAGATTATTTCTTCGGTCCTCACTAAATAGCACTGAATCACTTTAAATTATTTTGGGTAGTAAAAATTTATAAAGTTCAAAGGAAAGAGATGAGTCTACTTCAAATACATTACCCTTACATCGTCGGGTAAACCCTTACATCGTCGGGTAAAAGTATGTAATAGCACTTACCAGTGAAGCACAAAGTTGTCTCTTGCCCTTCTCTTGAGACAAATAACATTATGAAATTAAACAGAAGGATGCTGATATCTCTAAGCCATTACTGCACTATCTGAGTAACAGCTGCAATCGGTTTTCCATTTCATACAGAAGAAAACATGACGAGTACGTAAATTACTTTGATTGTCCTCGAGGTTTACAAAAATCCTATTTTGGAACATCAGCTATTAATCTTTATGTTAAGTGTATGGTTTCTCTTATAGCCGGATGTCTTCCCTGATAAAGCGACAGAACGAAAAATCCTTTCCTTTGCTATCAAATGTCCTTGTGGTGACTGCGAATGGACTGGGGAACTGAGGAACAAAGAGGTAACTTCGGAATCACAACGAGCTTAGCGTTATTTGATAGCTATCGTATACTTCGATAGTTATATCTGAGATATATTTTATGTTTTTATTACAGACTCACCTGAAAGCTTGTCTTTTCAAAGTCATCACTTGTCCTAACGAACACTGTCATGAGACCATGCAACGGAGAGAGGTCATACGACACAAGACTATCACGTGTTTGTGGAGGATCACTGAATGTGAACATTGCAACGAGCCACACCCAGCATGTTGCATGCAGGTAGTTTATCACGATTAGATGTATAGAGGAAGTCTTTATTCTTAAGAAATTTCATGAATTTGCTCCTACAGTGATTTAAAGGGCTCGGGCCTTGCAAAAAGGCCCGCTTTGTTGAGTAGTCACAACGCACGCAATAACTGAGAGTTATTTCATGAAAGATGTTAAACTTATCTCTTTCAGGATCATATTGAAAGGTGCTTGAAGTACCCGGTAACCTGTCCTAACGGCTGTGGTCTGTCAATTCAAAGGGAACTGGTAAGTGAAGGAGATTTTTTAGTCAGTTTTAGATGACATAAGCTAACAGTTTGGTTAACTACATGACACGATGAATTTATTTCAGATACCAAACCATACCAAAGATGATTGTCCTCACGCCATGATATTCTGCCCTTACACGGAGATGGGATGCGAAACAAAGGTCTGTATGTAAGGAATTGTAGCATCCAATTATCAATTGTCAGCAGGCAAATGTGACGAGTTGCAAAAGCGACTCAGAGAATTGAAGAAAAAACAGTGAATGAGTGACTTGAAATGAAAAAGAAATTGAAATTAATAGGTATGGTAGCGTCGAGAGAGGGTTTACACCAGAGAGAGCGGATATTGCAATTATTGCACTATAATGATGCCATTCTATACACCTGGTTTAACGCTGAGGTCTTCAACGGAAAAGAAAAATTCTTAACTTAGGAAGCTTAATTTTCTTTCAGGTTCAAAGAAAACAAGTGGAGACTCATCTTCAAACTGCCGTGACGGTTCATCTTGATTTAGCTTGTCTGAGGTTGAAGGAAACACAAAACTTAACAAGACAACTGATGGACAAATTCAGTACACTTCAGAACCTCTTTTTGGAAAAAGTACTGAAAGACGAATATAAAATGATAGAAAGGGAAAACGGAACTTGTTTTTGGAAGATTCATGATTTTGATAAAGTGTTTAAACAAGCCAAGGCCGGAAATAAAGAAAGAGTGGAATGTGTGATTCCTCACACACAAACCTATGGCTACAATTTAAAAATAAGAATTTATCCCAATGGCAGAGCTTTTGACAAGAATACTCACCTTTCGGCGTTCATTGTTGTAATGAAAGGTGAAGATGACCCCGTATTACCCTTTACCAAGAAAGTGCGACTAACACTGATCGATCAACAGGATGGCGAGGACAAACGGGAAAACGTTAGTAAACTGGTTAATTTGTATAGGTTCCCAGACTACTCTTGTAGGCTCAAAGGAAAGGAGAACGAAGAGTTCGGTTATAATCAGTTTATATCCCACAAGAAACTCAAGTCAAGGAAGTACATCGTGGATGATAATCTATTTCTTCAAGTTAAGATTCAAGAAAACATATGACTTCTTTATCACAATTTTTAATCCAATTTTTTTACGCTTATAGGAAAACAATTAGAAACGTTAGCTGTGATTAGCTTTGGATCGGAACTGTTACTAGTCAAAAGTAAAGTCAAGAAAGAATGGTGTCAAGTATGTTACAATGAACCATATTTTGGATGGTGTCAAAATTCAGGCGAACGGCTGATGCGCAGTGTTTTCGCACACAACAGTGCTTTGATAAAAAACATTTTTTCCGGACCAAAAGTCTTTTTAAAGGGAAATTTAGATTATTGTTATGAACTACTGAAATTAGAAGTGTTCTGGAACCACTGTTTCAGGGATGCGAATATGAACCCATGGATTTGAACCCATGACCTTTGCGATGCCAGTGCAGCGCTCTACCAACTGAGCTAACAACTGAGAGCTGGTTATTGTGTTGGTTACAAATAAACCCGCGAAGTGATGAATAAACGACTGTGAATAGATGAAAGTCATATATTTGAACTGCGGATAAAGACGTGAATATGAAAGCGATCTTCGCAGTAAAGAACACTACTTGAGCAGTGCTGAAAATAAGGCCTGAAAAAATTCATTTTCACTACTGCTCAAGTAGTATTCATTATATGTTCAAATGCATGACTTTCATATATATGAACATATAATGATCGCTAGTCATGTTTGGGTTTGTCCTTGACCTTGCTTAGAATCCTCAACGGGAGGTTTTGTTGTTTAGGTTTTGGTTCTCGAAGATTGGTCGTAGTTAAGAGGACATCCGTGCAAAAATCAAACAAAAATGAAATTTTATTGCAAGGGTAGTAGGCCTAGTAAGACAAGAAAGGTTAAATATTTTTTTTTCCTCTAATATGTTTTAATTTTCGAGAAAAACGAACTTTTCGCTCTCACCCTCTAGAATCGATGAATCGGGTCATAACAGGTCGGTCGAAAATTGAACACTTTCGCTCGCTTCGCATTTCAAAGATATTACGTCTAGGGAAATCTTATCAACGTGTGCTCTTTCATAGACTCTTCGTCTTCTGTGAAAGGTAAGTTGTGTAGGAATTGGTTGCTTAGAAGTTTTTAGCCATGCGAAAAAACAATGTGCTCTCTTCCGTTACAAAAGAATGTCGGTGAAGAAAACCTCTTTTTTCACCATGTGCCGTTATTCAGAATTACACCAAATTACGTATCACTATGTAAATTACCGAAGGAATGATCTTCAAAATGAAGTAAAATTTTCTTTGGGCAAACGTTTTCTCGCGACGCAGGAAACTCTTCAAAATGGCTCAGGGAAGACATAAAATCACACAATACGTAGATTGCGTGACCAAAGAGTTAAGGAGCATTCATGCCTTTGAAATTACTTTTTCAGAAACAAATAACAAATTTATACCCAGTTTAGTTAAATTACTTTGTCTTTTATCATTTGAAGTTTGTTTCTGCAGAGATATTCTGCCCTCGTTCTGTCTAGTACGATTATGCACCAGTGCCAGAAACGGTATACGATTAAAAACTTTGTTGGTCTCTCGCATACGAATCTTAAGTTTCTGCCCCTTGTTTGACTAGCTAACCCGTGCCTTTTAATCAGCTTACGGTAAACGAAAATCCACAAAATGTTACTTTACAGAGGCCCCTGCAGTAGTTAAGTGAGGGCTTGCGTGACCTAATTTTCATAATTGCGGTACGAGTCGTCGTTCTCGTGTGACAGAATAATTTGAACCTACGAGTGGGGTCGGTCGACGTCATTTAAATTGGCACAAATACGAGGAAAAGAAATAATAAGTCTATGATGTTTGTTGACTTTTCTATTTAAAAGCGAGACAATTAAATTAACAAAACTTAATAAACATTGCTCCTTTCGATTTTTCTCACGTGAAACTAAGGAAAATAATTATTTCCCGCCCCTTTTGAATAGGATGTCTCGCATGTGAATTAAATGGAAACTTCTTGCTTATTTAAGTTTATGGTTAGAAGTGCTTGCTTTTATGACTACGAGACAGGAGTAAATTATTTGAGGTGGTTCCCTTGGTGTCGTGCAATAAGGATGTACAGGGTCATAAAAGTGCTTGGTGTATTGCCGGAGTTGAGAATGAGAGTGAACCTATCCTTACCCGAGCAGGTATTTTTTACATGAGTGCAAAGGATATAAACGCCCTAAAAATTTGTCCATTCCACCGTTCTGAGCTTGGCACTGGATGGCGAAGGAGCCAGAATACCTGCAGAATTCCAGATGAGATCGCTTCCCACGGCAAAGGAAAAGGTGTCAAGGGGAGACAGAGGTGTTAGCAGAGCGATATCAAAAGTTATATTTCAGAGAACCGGTATCCCTATACCTCTAAGTTCAGGTATGGCTTTCATGAACCCTATTGCAAAAAAGATAATTGTTGTGTAATATACAATATATGTATATTCAGATATTGGTGCTTTTAAAGAAATGCAATTTTTCAGTAGACATAAATTATTGGCTAGGTGAGTCTTAAAATTGGTTCAGGTCCAGATTAGAGATGATAGGAACTCATACCCTGAATTAAGTGCGTCGAAGGTTTGACGGGTTCGGGCTAGGCCTAGTTTGTTCTTTCTGTATTACTTGCCCACGATCTGTAGTCATTTTTTCGATCATGGGAAGGAAGAGCTCCATGTCAAAGTTAACTTTCACTGAAAGTCATTTTACTCGTCATCGTTGTTGTCGTCATCGTCTTCATCATCACTGTCGTTATTATCATCGTCAACATCATCAGCATCACTATAATTATCGTTGTCATTATCATTACCGTTATCGTTTTCATAATTGTTTCTTCTATTACCATTTCACAGGTATCTGTAGAAAATGCAGAGAGAGTTTCGAAAGCAAGTCACAGATTGATGAACTAACGCTTGCAATCAAGGATCAAAAGATGATGTGCAATCTAATCGATAGGTTCAATAGGACCGCCTTTTTTTAACGCAATAACACTTAGTTTCTGAAGAAGTCAATAAAGTTAAACTAAAATTTCTATTTGTTGTTGTAAGTAATGTAGGAGGGCCTAATTAAGCAAGAGAACTGACGAGCCTGCTGCAGTGCAAAAAAATTCCGTAAATAGAGTGCCAAGCCATATAGCCGCTACTCAAACTTGTGCTTTGAATATATCCTCAGGCCAACAGTAGTGACATACCAATGAATCCTACGGTTACTCCAGAAAAACATGAACCTCCGGCATCGGCTATGGAAACACCAGAGAGCCTTTACCACCCATCTGAGAGCTCAGAAGATTTTGAAAGCGCAAAAGAGGTAAAAGGTACTTGTAGCAGTTCTGAAATACCACCGGGACTGACCGCGGAAACACCTGGGAGCTTTTACCACCTATCTGAGAGTTCCGAAGATTCTGATGGCGCAAAAGAGGCAAAAGGTAGTTCTAGAGAAGCACTCAATGCATTCTTAGCATGTAGGGATGTCAGCCCTGTTCGTCATCAGTTGCCAACATCATGGGATTCAATAGCCCGTAGAACACAACGCTACCACATTTGTAGAGCAAGACAAGTCGTGATAGCAGCCCTAGAAGAAATTGCACCTGGGAACGCTGAAATCCTCTTGAATAAACTAGTGATATCAAACGACATCGCACAGACAGAGGACGAAGTTGACTTAACGCTGGTTGACGCCCTAACAGAATGCTACAAGAATGCAAGTCACTGGAGCACACGAAGGCAAATCCTATCCATTATTGCCGACAAAGTTAGCTATCGAACGTAACAGAGTTGGATTCCTGGTCTAACACGATATAGATTTAATGTCGCCAGGCAACACGCTCACATGTATGGAGGAGGTGCTGAAGTTGAAGCGCGTAGTATGCCGAGAATGTATGTCTCAGCCTCGCAGCTTGACCACTTCCTTGACTTCATCACAACTGAACACATTACCCAAGAACTTCCAATTGGTGAAAGGACATTGAAATTATCATCCGAAGAGAAAATAACAGTACTCAATGTGGTAAGAAAGGTCATCCTAGAGCGAGTTGTTGAACAGTATAACCTGTTTTGCACTGAGACGGGTTTTGCTCCGATGGGACGCAGCACCCTTCATAACATTCTTGATGATTGCTCTGTTAGTGTGAGGAACTCATTGCAGGGACTCAATTACTTTACAGCACAAGGCACACAGGCTTTTGATGATTTAGAGAGTGTTGTCGATAAGTTCGGAGAAGACTGTGGGATGGGCTCAGCCTGGGTGAAAGAAAAGAAGGAACAGCTGAAGGAAGGAAAGAGATATCTGAAGTGTGATTACAAGGTACCATTATTATCCCTATTATCATTATCATTATTAATATTATTACTATCATAACACTAAAAATAATCGAGTGTGCTTCATCAGGTCTTACAATATAGAGATATGAATTATTAATGAAGACGTGCAGATAGACAGGGACCATAGTCATCATCATACGTTCTAATTCGAGATTTTTGTTTTCAATTAATAGGTACACATATCAACGAGCTCAAGTGTACCAGACCATTGTCGAGCCTACGCGCTAAGTTGTCCAGACGACACAGACTACCCTGAAATTTGCCATCACAACCACAGCCACACACGCGACCGATGTTCTCGCCTTACATCTGTTGTTGCTGAAATCGAGAGAGCTGTACAGGAAGTGGGAGGCACAACCGATACGAAAGAAGATGTGGTCTTTGTGACTTTACAGTCCAAACAATGCATAAATTCCTAGAAATCGCACTTACTGCGTTCAACAAACCGGGACGAATCCAGACTAGACGTCATTGATGAGCTGGATGAAACTTCTGTCTTACTGGTCTTATACTGGGCCATGAAATATCTACCAAAGAAATCCAGGAAGAGCTAAACAAACTGGTTTGGTAAGAGAGGTCTGCCATGGCATATCACGGTTGCGACGAGAAAGGGAAATGATGGCAAGATTCAGATGATGACATTTATACACTTATTTGAGACCTGTAACCAGGACAGTTCTGCAGTTCTTGCCATACTTAACGACGTCTTTCGTCGACTGAAGGATGTCATGCCTCATTTACAA